CTTTCTTCCTTGTGCTCTGCTAGTTTTGTGCCCTGGTAGTCTTAAACTGGCACCTTAGAAGGCCCTGCTCCAGAACCCCAACTACCCATTCATTCTCCAACTGCCTCAGGGCAGTGCTGGTCACCACATCAAGGTCACTGTATTTCTTTAAGCCTCATCTCTTTTCAAGATTGATTACAAACCCTTTGAGATTAGATTGAGATGATATCAGCAAGTAATAATGAAGCTCTATGTCTGTAGGTTTCATAATAGAGGAAATTAAAACCAGAATAAGAATGTACAAGCAAGTAACTGGACATTGGTGGAAATTTATGAGATTGGAAGTAGTGGCTAGAATCCTTCTGAATATTAAGGGAGGCAGGCATCCTGGATTGGGCGGGGGCGGGGGGGTGATATATATACTGGATAGTTCCTAGCAGTTCCAGGAGATAAGGAATTGAATCATGACCACCTTCCCATCTTTCTCTCTACTCTCAGAACCACTCCTCACCCCTACTCCTATTTTTTCCTCTTCTTTCCCACTTTATCCTAGGCCTTTTCCATTCTCTCCTGAGTTTTATTTTGTTGCTGCTTTTTCCACTGACTCCCACCCTCTCCACATTTCAGCTGCCTATGTAAACCCTTGGCTATCTAATTCCAGAGTTCCTATTAGTTCTAAGGAGAATCTCCTGCAACCCCTATGTAACTATGGAATTAAACTCAAAAATGAATCTCAATAAAAACCTCACAGTTATACAGCCTATGCTGATAATGGCAATCCAACTTCCTTTACCTTCCCCCAAGAGGATGCTGGGAGCTCTGGGGATAACCTGAGCTGCGTGCTTTGGTTATTTTAACTTTGGTACCTTTTCAAGTTGTGAATCTATTTTGAATGTTTTTTGAGTTCATGATTTTGCTCTGCAGCCAACCTTACGAAATCTAAACATCAGCCTAACAGAGTAGAGAGAAGCTGGGATGTGGCCTAGTGAGACAGTGCTTGCCTGGCATGCACAAGGGCCCTGGGTTCAATCCCCAGCACTGCAAAAATAAATAAATAAGTAAAAGTCAAAAGACCATATAGTCATATGAGCCTCCCATTAGAGTCATATGAGTTTGAATGTGTGATTTGGACAGATTAATCTCCATGAGCCTATTTCCTTCTTATATGAAGAAAATATCAACGAAAAAATACATCTCATGCATATAAAATCTCCAGTACAATGCCTGATTAAAAGAATAGCTGCTATATTGATACTGTTATCCACATTTATTTCTTTTGGATAATTGAGTCTAATATAATGGGGTATCCTGACCTCTGGAGAGTATATGGGGGACTTGGAGATTCTGTGAACAGTTGCTAGTGGGAGGGTAAGACTTGGAAGTGTGGGGAGGGAATAAAATGCTGGTGCCCAGGCTTGACACACTCCTACCTACCCCACCCTGCCCTTCCCCCTGCAGTCCTGTCCAAGAACAGCAAGCCCATCCATACCACCATCCTAAACCCACATGTCCACGTGATTGGGGAGGACGCAGCTTGCATCGCCTACATCCGTCTCACCCAGTACATCGACGGGCAGGGTCGGCCTCGTACCAGCCAGTCAGAGGAGACCCGGGTCTGGCACCGCCGGGATGGCAAGTGGCTCAATGTCCACTATCACTGCTCAGGGGCCCCTGCCGCACCATTGCAGTGAGCTTCAGCCACAGGTGCTTGTGGTAGGGGAGAAGGGGCGGGGAGGGGTTGGGACAGGTGGGGTCAAAGAAGGAAGAGTAGGCTAGGAGGTGAAACTTGGGAAGGAGGTATGGGCCATCCCAGAAGAATGGCAAAGGCTGGGGAGTGTGGTTGAAATAAGTTACACTCTGAACTCTAATTTGAGTCTGCTTCTATGACTCCAAATTAGGTGCACACAGTTACTTATCCTCCCTAAGTCTCAGTTTCCTTAGCTGTTAGAGAGGACAAGTGTGGTGCCTACCTCCTTAAATTTTTGTAAGGGTTAAATAAATAAAATACTATAAGTAAAGCACTTACTAAGTACTTAAATGTGAGACAGTGTTATATTTAAACATTAGCTTCTCCCCCACCCCAACTTTCTTAGGCTCTAGGACCTCATCTGTGTGTGCTCATTGTCCTCTATTCTATTACCACCTTCTGTCCTGTTTAACAGGGGGATTAGGAGATTCCAGCTGGAGGTCGAACCTTCGCAGCCAGTGGCTCTGGAGGGCCTGAGTGACAGCGGCAGTCCTGTTCGTTTGAGGTTTAAAACAATTAAATTACAAAGCGGCAGCAGCCAATGCACGCCCCTGCATGCAGCCCTCCCGCCCGCCCTTCGTGTCTGTCTCTGCTGTACCGAGGTGTTTTTTTTACATTTAAGAAAAAAAAAAAAAAGATTGTTTAAAAAAAAAATGGAATCTGTACCATGAAGCATTTCAAAACCACCTACAGCCCTTGGGCTTGCAAGAAGACAGGAGTTTGTGTGATGCCCATCCTGGCATGAACGTTGGGCTCACCCACCAGTCCTGAAGAGGTGAGCTTAGCCTCAGAACCCCCACGGACCCAGGGGGACCAGGCAAGGACTCTGACAGAGCTTTGGGGGCCATGATGTGATTATGGCCCCTGAGGTGGCCTGCTTACCCCAGGTCTATGAGTGGGCTTCTTCGGAAACTGCATAAGCACCTAGAAAGAAGCTGATGAAAACACCATGGCTGTTAGACCTACTTGAGAGAGAATGCAGAACTCTCAGCCAGCTGTGGACGCAGCTGAGAAGCAGTGGCCTCAGGACTGAGGTCCCGGACTTTGCTGTACTGTTCATTTAGCATAGAAGGGAAGAGAATTGGTGCTGCAGAAGTATGTCTGCTATGAAGCTGATGAGAAACCTCGTGTTAGTCTGACATGCACTTACTTACTCATCCATTTGTATAGGATGCACAATGCCCTTGGGCCCTGATATTGAGGCCTAATCCCTGCAGGTGGGAAGGGGAGGTTTTGCTGCTTTGCTTCGTGTTTGTGTTCTTGATAACTTAGCAAGGAGGGAGCCAGGCTCTGGTCAGGGCTCCCTTTGTCGCCTTTGGCAGTTCTGTTTCTGGACCATCTTTGTCTTGCCTTTTCATGGTGGTGGTCCCCCATGCTGACCCTCATCTGGACCTGGGCCCTCCGTGAAGTGCCCCTGTGGGATGGGAGGAGTGAGGCAGTGGGATAAGAGGTGGTGGTTGTTTCTATGCATTCAGGCTGCCCTCAGGGTTGCCTCCCTTCTTACTCTTGCTGCACGTCCATCTCTTTCCCTGTCTTTGAGATTGACCTGAGTGCTCTGGCAAGAAGCGTCCTCTTGAAAGAGGCCTCTACTGACCAACTGAAGTATAGACTTACTGCTGGACAATCTGCATGGGCATCACCTCCCCTCACCTGCATGTACCCAAAAAAGGTGTCCAGAGCAAAGACTCCTACATTCATTGTCTCTCTCTGCTCAAGGAGTTCCATTCCAGGAGGAAAAGATCTACCCTAAGCCAATATGAGAAGATAATGGAGGAGCAATTGGTCATAGCCTTGGGTTTCTCCCAAAACAACTGTGCATATTTATCTGCACAAATATCTGCACTTTTGAGGGAAAGGTGGGTAGACTCCAGCTCCCTGGACTAACTTCAGGAGGCACAGGAGCTGGGAAAAGAGGCAAAGCTACAGGTTTACTTTGGAGCCAGCTGAGGAGAGCAAACTCACAGGTGCTGATGCTTGGATTTAGCAAGGCTCCTCTCGCGCCTCATGCATGCCCCAGCCCCTGGGCCCTACCCCCAACCCTGCCCTGCAGCCTGCAGTGCCAGCTCGCAGATACCTTCACCACAGGGTTTGGTTTTGCTGGCTTGAAGACAAATGGTCTTAGAGTTCATTGAGACCCATAGCTTCATATGGCTGTTCCAGCCCCACTTCTTAGCATTCTTACTCCTCTTCTGGGGCTAATGTCAGCATCTATAGACAATAGACTATTAAAATAATCTTTTAAACAGGAAATGGAAGGCATTTGATGCAGAATTTTTGCATGACATAGAAATAATTTAAAAATAGTGTTTGTTCTGAATGTTGGTAGACCCTTCATAGCTTTGTTACAATGAAACCTTGAACTGAAGATATTTAATAAAATAACCTTGAAACAGTCCATTGTGTTATTGCTGTTGGAGGCTTATGCCCAGGGGCTTAGATTTTAGCAACCTGCATTACAAGGCTTTAGATGGAGAGAAGTATCTTCTCCCACTTCCTTTTAGGATCTTTTCAGAAGAGGATTTTCTTATAGGCCCCCTGGCTGCTAAGGGGAGTCAAGGGGTGGCATAGATGACGCGGGGCCTTAAGAGGTGGGCGAAGACCAAGATGTGGGGGCACCCGCCTGTAATCCCAGCGATTCTGAGGCTCCTAATACCAGAGGTTCCCAAGTTCGAGGCCAACTTGAGCAATTTAGCGAGGTCCTAAACAACTTTAGTGAGACCTTGACTCAAAAGGGGTTGGGGATGCAGCTTAGTGGTTAAGCACCCCTGGGTTCAATCCTTGGTACCAAAAGGGGTGGGGATGGGGGAGGTGGGCTACGGGTTTCGCCACGCCTCCGGGCCCCGCCTGCGTCCCGGGCTGGCCCCGCCCCTGCTCAGTGGGCCTGCCCGGCTCCCCCTCCGCCGGGCTGAGTGGACGAGCCCGTACCCTCGGCCCGCCCCTCCTCTGGAGCCGCGACGCCCGACGCTCCCCAGACTGTGCCACCGTTTGGGGTGTAGGGGGTACGCTTCTGCGGCCTGGGCGCGGAGCCTGGCGACTCCTAGACCGCGGCTCTGGCTGAGCACACCGGAGGACTATTTGGGTTCCTCGCGCCTCGGTCGCGCGACTGCCTGGCTCGGAGCTGTCGCTTACCGAGTGGGTGAAAAGAGAGGCAGCGCGCCGCCTCCCCCAGGTGGAAGGGGTGGTTGAGCCCGGCTGCGGTAGAGCGTTCGCTCGGAGATGGCGGAGCCGCCGCGACGCGGCCGGAGGCCCGGAGAGCAGGGAAGCCGGGCAGCCCCGGGACGCGGCGGAGCCCGGGGACCGCGGGGACGCCGCCCACTCCGCCGGGTGAGCCGCCCTTGAGGAGAACAACCTCCCACATTCAGAGTGTGCCCTCCCCCCAACCCGATCACCCTCAGTTCCTCACAGACTTCCCTTGAGTGTTGCCACCATAACCACCCGCTGGGTCGTCTTGGGCGGCCCTTCAGTGCGGCCCTCCTCGCCCCTCGCCCTGAGTCCTTTCCACTATCTTTCCTCGGAGTTGCCTTCTTCGCCTCAGGTCGCCCCCCACCTCCAGTACAGGGGTCCGTCCCCTCGGGCTCTTCCAGCCCAGTACCTGCCTCGATGTCACCCCCGCGTCGCCTCGGCGCGACCCTTGTGCCCTCTCCTATTAATGCTCCCCTTCCCCTTAATGCCCCCCATCCGTGCCCTCATCTCCACCTGTGACCCCGTATTCCCCCCAACAGGGTCCCCCCTCCGTGAGCCTCGGATCCCATTCGGTTCCCTTTCCTCCACAGCATCTTCTCTGCTTGTCTCCCGGGACAGGGCCCACACCCCCAAGGCTTCCCGGGCCTGTTAGTGTTGGGACCTGATGACCCCTTGGTTTCTCCTCCTCAGAAACCTATTGCTACACACACATCTCCCCCATGTTCTTCTTCCAGTGTTTATTGCCTCACCCTAGTAGGTCTCTCGTCACTTCTTCCCCAAATATTAGTGCTTCTTCCAGTCATGAAGCTAAAGATGCAGTGGTTAACCGCATGGGCTCTGAAACTTGACATGCCTGACTGAATTCCAGTTTCTCCACTGACAGCTGTTTGGTCCTGGGCAGGTTACTAAGCTTCTCTGGGCTTCAAATTAGTCATGTAAAATGGAAATAATACTATTTACTTCTTCCCTCCTTCTTAGGGCTGGTGTGAGTATTAACTACAGATGCTCCTAAATTTACCATGAGGTTACATCCTGAAAAACTCATCTTAAGTTGAAGATACCTACATCAAAAATGCATTTAATACACCAAACCTACAGATAGCTTAGCAGTACAGTATACTGTAAAATATCATTTGTTTAACCTTCTGATTACATAGCTGTATGAGAACCGGTCACAGCCACTGCCCCTATATAGCATTAAAAAAGAGTATTGTACTCCATATCCACTAGCTCAGGAAAGGATCAAAATTCAAAATTCTTTGGGCTGGGGATGCATGAGACCCCAGGTTCATTCCCCAGAACCATAACAAAACAATCCCAAAAGTCAGATTATGTTTATACTGAATGCTTGTCATTTGTACACCATTGCAAGTTGAAACATTCTAGTTTGGGGACTATCTGTATAGGTAAAACTCTCAGGAAAATCTCTGGCAGGTAGTAAGCTTGCAACAGATATTAACTGAGCTGAACATGATGACATGTGCCTGAAATCCCAGCTACTCAGAAGGCTGAGGCAGGAGGGATCACAAGTTTGAGTTCACCCTCAGCAACTTAGTGAAACCATGTCTCAAAAAAGGGTTGGGGATATAGCTCAGTGGTAGAGTGCTTGTCTAACATGCATTGGGCCCTGGGTTCAATCTCCATACTACAAAAATAAATAAATAAATAAACTGTTACTAACATGTGTTATTAACATCAACTTGCCCCCAATGACTTCTATTCACTACTGTTTTCCCTAAGAATTTCTCTGATTCTTAGGATTCACCCCTTTCCATGACCTTTTTTTAAATTTTTGTTTTGTTTTGTTTTATATGGTGCTGAGAATTGAACCAGGGCTTCACATGACCACAACCCCAGCCCTCCATGACCTTTTTTAAAATTCTTTTTTGGTACTTAGAGATTTAACCTAGGGCCTTATCATGCCAAACACATTTTGCCACTGATCTACATCCCTAGTCCCCCATCACAGTTTTTCTCCTCCCTCCCAGCTCTCTTTATTAATTTTACCCAGGCCAAAGCTGAACACTTTTTTTTTTTTAATATTTTTTCAGTTGTCAATGGACCTTTATTTATTTATTTATATGCGGTGCTGAGAATTGAACCCAGTGCCTCACACATGCTAGGCAAGTGCTCTACCACTGAGCTACAACCCTAGCCCCAAAGCTGAACTCTTTATAAACAGCTCTCTCAATTCTGAAGGACCTGTCTCTACCTATTCACCTCTAGGGTGTATGAATTGGAATGGATGATAGAGAGGGATTACTAACCAAAAGCTTTACTGGGAGTGGTGAAGGTGAAGAGAGTGACTGTAAAGCTTCCAGAAGCAATCTGATAAGAAGTCCCCCAAATTATATCTCCTTAAAACTGTGTTTTCAGATCATGCTGCCCTTACTCATTTTCATTGCCATATTATGACTTAACCTCCTGTTGCTCTCTTATCTCCCATTCAGATTTTTTGTTTGTTGGTTTATTGTTTTTATTTGTTGTTGTTGTTTTGTTTTTTGGGGTTTTTTTAGTTGTAAATGGACACAATACCTTCATTTCATTTATTTATTTTATGTGGTGCTTGGATGAAACCCAGTGTCTCATGCAAGCTAGGCAAGTGCCTTACCACTGAGCCACAACCCAAGCCCCAGTTTGTTATGTTTTTCTAACTGCATCTACCCTTCATGTCTCTCCAGGCTAGTTCAGAGACCCTTCTGAGCTATTCAGGAATGGGGATATAGTACCATGTTAGAAAGGAGAATTGGAAAGGTCAGGGAGAGAGACTCTAGTCTCAGCTTTTTGGCTTTTCTCAGGTTCTAGTGACATGCCTGCTCTGGGGCTCCATTTTTATCTCTTCTTACTCTGATACAGGTGAGGTAAAGGGCCAGAGGTGGGAAATTTTTCACAAGCAGTGGAAAAGAGAGTCTCATAGTCTCCAAGTTAATTAACTTGAAAAGTAGATTAATAGAATGCTTAGCACCATCTCTTTTCTCTTTGAGTTCCCCCACTATAGTGTCCATATGATTGCAAGTTCGTTAGTGCTGTTGGCTATGATGATGGGTTTGATTGATACAGAAGATTAACAGACTCATGAGTTTCCTTTTATCTGATAGTTCGTTGGGGCATGGGACTTCTGGGACTTTCAGTCCCTTCCTCACAGAAAGAACAGAACTTTTCCTCGTTGGCCAACTGTTCGGTCATGGGTTGAGAACTCCTTTCAGAACAGGCCCATTTTCAATCTCCTAGGCTGTTTGGCCTCTTGTAGATGGGAGAATTCATTTCCTTACAAGTTGTGAAGCTAAGGTATAGTGCTCCACTTGTGTTCTTTTATAGAAGCTTTTTTCCTTTCTTTCTTTTCTTTTTTTTTTTTCCTTTTGGAAAGTAAATCATCCAGTGAACAGGAGGTAAGAGAAATGAGGTAAGGGTAAGGAGAATGGATTTTTTTTTTTTTTTTTTTTGGTACTGGGGATCGAACTCAGGAGCACTTGATCACTGAGCCAAATCCCCAGCCCTTATTTGTATTTTATTTAGAGACAGGGTCTCACCGAGTCACCATTGCTGAGGCTGGCTTTGAAAAGAATAGATTAATATAGTTTAAAGGGAGAAGTAACACATTGATTTCTCTGTCTTACAGATAGTGGGGCCAAGATTGTGAACTTTACTGACATTCTGATGTGAGGAGCTCCGCCAGAGCCAAAAGTGGAGCCTGGCTAGATTTGCAGCCTGAAGCCATGGGCCAGGGGGCCATGGTGACTTGAGACCAGTAGACTCTGTCCAGTTACCCCCTACTGTTCCTTCTACCTCCCCTACCCTTTACTAAGTGAACTTGACTCACCTTTTCAGGGAGCTGACCCTGAGGGAATCCCTTTCCCTTATTTTCCTATCCTTTTATCCTCTCAAGACAGTTCCAGACTATAGAACTCCTACCTCCCATCCCCTGTGGTGGTTCCCATCTCTCCCTCATTTCCCCCGCCATGCTTCAGCTGTGGAAGGTGGTACGCCCAGCTCGGCAGCTAGAACTGCACCGCCTCATACTGCTGCTGATTGCTTTCAGCCTGGGCTCCATGGGCTTCCTGGCTTACTATGTATCCACCAGCCCCAAGGCTAAGGAACCCCTGCCCCTGCCCTTGGGAGACTGCAGTAGTAGTGGGGCAGCTGCCCCTGGCCTTGCACGGCCTCCAGTCCCTCCTCGAATGCCCAGGCCTCCAGAAACAGCTCGAACCGAACCAGTGGTCCTTGTGTTTGTGGAGAGTGCATACTCACAACTGGGTCAGGAGATTGTGGCCATCTTGGAGTCTAGTCGTTTTCGTTATAGCACTGAGTTGGCACCTGGTCGAGGGGATATGCCCACATTGACTGATCATACCCATGGCCGCTATGTCTTGGTAATTTATGAGAACCTGCTCAAGTATGTTAACCTGGATGCCTGGAGTCGGGAACTGCTAGATCGATACTGTGTGGAGTATGGTGTGGGCATCATTGGCTTTTTCCGAGCCCATGAGCACAGCCTACTGAGTGCTCAACTCAAGGGCTTTCCCCTTTTTTTACATTCAAACTTGGGACTACGCGACTACCAAGTGAATCCTTCTGCCCCTCTGCTACATCTCACTCGCCCTAGCCGCCTGGAACCTGGGCCACTGCCTGGTGATGACTGGACCATCTTCCAATCCAATCACAGCACATATGAACCAGTGCTTCTTGCCAGCCTTCGGCCAGCTGAACCCCCTGTGCTAGGACCAGTGCCTCGTCGGGCTCGACTTCCCACTGTGGTACAGGACCTGGGGCTTCATGATGGCATCCAGCGGGTGTTCTTTGGCCATGGCCTTTCATTTTGGCTCCACAAACTTGTCTTCGTTGATGCTGTTGCATACCTCACTGGCAAGCGCCTCTGCCTGGACCTTGACCGCTATATCTTAGTAGACATTGATGATATCTTTGTGGGCAAAGAAGGTACCCGCATGAAGGTGGCTGATGTTGAGGTCAGTCTTTATTTTTCCTTACAATTTTTTTTTAGAAACGGTTCAAACTCTGGCCTATCGGACTCCCTGCCTTGGTTCTGAGTTTGTCACAGGAATGTTTCCTGCCCTTTCCAGACAAGGAAGAATACTGCTGCTCATGTATCTCTTCAATCTGCTGGGTCCTGATTACTCTTTCCATTTATGTCATGTTCCTATTACTCTTCCCAGGCTCTCTTGACCACCCAGAACAAACTCAGGACTTTAGTCCCCAACTTCACCTTCAACCTGGGCTTCTCGGGCAAGTTCTACCATACTGGTAAGCTTACTCCCCTGCTCCTTCAGCACATCAGTCTTAGTTTGATCTGTCCCTTCACTGTTTATCTCCCTGGGCAGACAAGTTGGATAAAAGGGGTGAGGTTTGGGGTCAGATTACTGTGAGGAGCTTGTGATAGCCATGAATTTAGCGTGAGTAGCTGGAGATCAAGTTGACAGTGGATAAATAGAAAATCTTGAGTGGGCAGAGGGTCATAATATCCCAAGGGTGGAAGGTGGTCAGTGTTTGTTACAAGAGTACTCAGTCTGACTGGCTGTGGTCAGTGGTCAGTGTGTGGTCATAGGGACAGAGGAGGAGGATGCAGGGGACGACATGCTGCTGAAGCACCGCAAAGAGTTCTGGTGGTTCCCCCACATGTGGAGCCACATGCAGCCACACCTGTTCCACAATCGCTCCGTGCTGGCTGACCAGATGAGGCTCAACAAACAGTTTGCTTTGGTGAGACCCTTGAATCTCTTCCCCATACTTTCTCCCAGAGGTAATGCTTCCTTTTTAACCTTCCCCCAATGGGTCACCCTTCCCCTACCATTTTCAGTTTTCTTTCTATGGAGGCATCCCCACCCTCTTTACCCTCTACTCCCCAAACCTCACCAGGTCCTGGTGAGAGTCTATACCATTCCCAGGAGCATGGGATTCCCACGGATCTGGGGTATGCTGTGGCCCCTCACCACTCGGGCGTGTACCCCATCCACACGCAGCTCTATGAGGCCTGGAAATCTGTGTGGGGCATCCAGGTGACCAGTACCGAGGAGTATCCCCATCTCCGTCCTGCCCGCTACCGCCGTGGCTTTATTCACAACGGCATCATGGTGAGGAACTCCCACACTTAGCCTCCAATCTGCATTGTCTTACAGTTTTACCTACTAGTTCATCCATATATAGGGGGTAAAAATCATTTAAAAAAAACACTGCACATAGTAAGTGCTTTATTGCTTTAATTTCAGACTGAGCCCTCTATAAATCCAGGGAACCCCAGGGCCTCAGGTCTTTTATCCTTCATCTATTTCAAATTCTACTTTTCAGGGCTGGGGATGTGGCTCAAGCAGTAGCGTGCTTGCCTGGGATGCGTGCAGCCCGGGTTTGATCCTCAACACCACATACAAAGATGTTGTGTCCGCCGAAAACTAAAAAATAAATATTTAAAAAAAAAAATTCTACTTTTCAAACTTCATCTATCCTTGTTTCTTTTCCTTGCAGGTGCTGCCCCGGCAGACATGTGGTCTCTTCACTCACACAATCTTCTATAATGAATATCCTGGAGGCTCTCGTGAACTAGACCGGAGCATCCGAGGAGGAGAGCTCTTTCTGACAGTGCTACTTAATCCGGTAGGGTGCTGAGAGGAAGGGCTAGAAGATTGGACAGCCAAAGTGTTTGCAGGCTGGGACCTTTACTCACCAACACTGATTCTGAGGTGGGGTAGGCTTCCAGATCTGACATGCAGGCACCCCCTTGCAGATCAGCATCTTTATGACCCATTTGTCCAATTACGGAAATGACCGGTTGGGCCTGTACACCTTTGAGAGCCTGGTGCGCTTCCTCCAATGCTGGACACGGCTGCGCCTACAGACCCTTCCTCCAGTCCCTCTTGCACGAAAGTACTTTGAACTTTTCCCCCAGGAGAGAAGTCCCCTTTGGCAGGTAAGGGTGGAGCTCAGGCTGACTAGAGACATAATGGGATGGGGACTTAGGAAATTAGGCCTTATCAGAATCTTGGCCTTGCCTTCAGAATCCCTGTGATGACAAGAGGCACAAAGATATCTGGTCCAAGGAGAAAACCTGTGATCGGCTCCCCAAATTCCTCATTGTGGGACCCCAGAAGACAGGTAAACCTTCCTTAGCCAACTTTTCTTGCTCTACCTTAAAGACTCCTTTTGCAAGGAATTCCTTTCTCGTATCCACTCCTCCTTAATCCAAACTCCTGCAACAAGGATTCTTTTTTGTTTTTTAATTTTATTTTTAGGTGTAGTTGAACATGATGCTTCTATTTTATTTATTTATTTTTATGTGGTGCTGAGGATTTGAACCCAGGGCTTTGCACTTGCTCTATCGCTGAGCCACAACCCCAGCCCAACAAGGATTCTTAACCTTGGTTTGTATATCAGAATCATCTGTGGAGTTTGTTTAGTTTCTTTGTATGTTTTCTGGTATTTTGCAGTGCTGGGGATTGAATCTAGGGCCTTACTCATGCAAGGCAAGTGCTCTACCACTGAACTACACCCCAGGCACATGTGTAGAGGTTTAAAAAGATCCACAGTGATTCTGATATTACAATCAAGACTGAGTGCACTGTTTTAACCCTTTCCTGGGCCTTTCACAGGTCATTTTCTCTCACAATAGCTGGATCAAAGGGAGTTTTACTATCCAGAGTGGTTGTTTTCTTACTTCCTTCAAACTCATGCTGTTCAGCTGGTGTCTTTTCAACAATGGCCTGGTCCTTCTCTCCTATTTAGGGACCACAGCTATTCACTTCTTCCTGAGCCTGCACCCAGCTGTGACTAGCAGCTTCCCTAGCCCAAGCACCTTTGAGGAGATTCAGTTCTTCAATGGCCCTAATTACCACAAGGGTATTGACTGGTGAGACTGAGACTGCTTTGAATGTTTCTCAGAGAAACAGTTCCTTCTCCCAGCAGACATCTGGTTTTTTTTTCACTCTGGGCCTTTCCTCTGCTGCTTCCTAGGTATATGGACTTCTTCCCTGTTCCTTCTAATGCCAGCACTGACTTCCTGTTTGAAAAAAGTGCCACCTACTTTGATTCAGAGGTTGTACCACGGCGGGGGGCTGCCCTCCTGCCAAGAGCCAAGATCATCACTGTGCTCACCAATCCTGCTGACAGGGCCTACTCCTGGTACCAGGTCTGGCTGAAGCTAGGGACACATTGGGGCTTAAGGAGAAGGTGGGTGTGGGACTGGTGATTACTAGAGAAAAAAGAATGAGGGTAGGGAAACAACTAGTACCTTAGGGAGGGGGTGCCTGTACTTTCACCAGACCAAGAATAAGGACAAAATAATTCTGATAATCACCTGTCCCTTCCTTTCCTTGTCCTTTAGCACCAGCGTGCACACGGAGACCCAGTTGCTCTGAACTATACCTTCTACCAGGTGATTTCAGCTTCCTCCCAGGCCCCTCTGGTACTTCGCTCTCTGCAGAACCGCTGTCTTGTCCCTGGCTATTATTCCACCCATCTACAACGCTGGCTGACTTACTACCCCTCTGGACAGGTACAATCCCCCCAAGATCCCTCCCTCATTGGGGTCCACCTTCCCTTCAGCCTAGAGGCTTCTTAGGAATCTAGAGGGAACCACATCCCTATCCCTTTAGCTGCTGATTGTGGATGGGCAAGAGCTACGTACCAATCCTGCAGCCTCAATGGAGAGCATCCAGAAGTTCCTGGGTATCACGCCCTTTCTGAACTACACACGGACCCTCAGGTGGGAGAGCATGACTCAGGGGAGGAATCTCTGGGTGAAGTGGGGAAGCAGGCTGATCACATCTATTTGGAAAACATGGGTTTACCCTGTTTCGCAAAGAGAAATGTGTCCTTGTGGACTGGGAGGGGTAGTACACATTTATGGGGCTTGAATTTCTTTTCTTCCTGCCACCAAATGTCCTTTTTCTGTTGAGCAGGTTTGATGAAGATAAGGGATTTTGGTGCCAGGGACTTGAAGGTGGTAAAACTCGATGTCTAGGCAAAAGCAAAGGCCGGAGGTACCCAGATATGGACACTGAGGTAAGTAAAGTCTGGGAAGGATAGTCCTGTTCCAACTCTAGGGTCTGATTCCATCCTGGTCCTTACTATTTGTGTCTCCCTTCATTTTTCTCCTGTCAGTCCCGCCTTTTCCTTACGGATTTTTTCCGAAACCATAACTTGGAGCTGTCGAAGCTGCTGAACCGGCTTGGACAGGCAGTACCCTCGTGGCTTCGGGAAGAACTGCAGCGTTCCAGTCTGGGCTGATGTTCCCAGCCTTCCATTACCAGCAAAAAGCAGGGCCCACAAGGGGAATAAGAGTGGCCTGACCCCTCCCCCTTCTACCTCAGTGGCCCCCCCAGGCCTGCGATGGCTGAGAAGGAAGGGCATCTCTTTCCCATAGCTCTGGGGCCTGATAGTGAGGCTTTACTTGGTACCCCATGTCATGGTACTAGGTACCTTTGACCCATGAAATTGGGAGGTGGGAGAAATAAGAGGGTCCAGACAAGGTGTAGAGGAATGTAACATATTAATCCAATGATTTTCCTCTGCAGTCCCAGCAGTATATCTATCTATACCTGGCTAAGAGAGGGACCTTTTATTGAGGCCCCTTTAGTCAGGCAGTGGATCTACGTGGGGCCCGGCCTCCCTAAGTCATTCACATTGAATGGGGATGAGGTCGTACAGTGGCTCTTAGAGCTGAGTATAAGCCCAAGCTGTGGGCTAGAAATGTCCGTAATAAACATCCTTATTTTTCTGTTTCGTCTACCTCACTGAAGTGAAAAAACTAGAATAAAGCAAATATCAGATCTGTTTTCCCCCTGGCTCAAGGTATAGCAGCAGCACATAGAGGAAAAAGAAGGGAAAGGCCCAGGCACACTAGAGTAAAAAAGGAGCTTATATATTTATAAATGCCAAATAAATACCATAGGCCACCCAACGCCCCCTCCCAGACAGGACCGTCTCCCCAAGCCCTAAGTTTCTAGGGTCTGAGACATCTTGGCCCCAAGCTACAGCCCAAGAGCAGCTGCCAGTCTGGGCTACCAGGGAACTGAGTGGAGATGATCTGTCCAACCAAGATTCACTCCCTCTATGTGAGGGACCCCCATAGCCATGGGCCTGTGTCCCTGTATAGGGCCCTAAGGGTGCCAGACTCAGGGAGAGAAGGTGGTCATCTCGAGTGAGACCCGCTGCCACAGCTCCTTGGTCTGTTTGCTGCGCTTGAGGTTCTGTAGGATGTCGTTGAACTGCATCATGCCCATGGGTGTCAGGCAGAAGGCGCTGCGGGCACTGCGGATCGCATTCACAAAGTCGTCGTAGTCGGCAGGGGTCAGGTGAATCAAGCGGTGGTGGATGTACTGAAGGACGTGTGTAGGGTGAGCCTTGGTACAAAGCACAGAACCTCACCCCTCCTCCCTTATACACTAAGCACTCTGGTCCATAACTACCCAGGAGGTACTCCACCCTGCCCTGTACTTCCTGGATTGTCACCTGCATGTATGCCTGCTGGCAGCGCTGCACCAGTTGGTGGAAGGCCGGGGCACGCAGATGGTTGTGGGCATGAGCGGGGCTCAGCCGCTGCAGCGTCTCCATGACGATCTCCTGCAGCACAAACGGGCTCAGCACCCCCTTGGCTGCCCCCACACAGAACTGGTGCACGTAGTTCACTCCTGGGGGGCAGGGGGGGAGGGGCATGAGACGGGGGTGGCCACCTCTGCCCTAGGGACCCAACTTACATATCTCAGCTCTGGCCTGGCAGAGAGCCTCCCTCCACCCTAGGAGCTGAGGTGACCCTCCACCCCCCGCGCACGCACACATACCCGACCAAGGCCTCAACTCTGAGCAAGAGCTAGGAAGGAGGTCTGGGATAGGAAGGTGGGGGGAGCAGGTCGGGGGGACAATGGTCCTGGGGAGGGGAGGTGTTACCCAGCTTTGCTGCCAGCCCCAGCAACCATTTGACATCATCAGTGTAAGGGGGGGAGCGGGAGAAGTTGTTGGGGTGATCGTTGTGTGCCCGGCGACCCAGCATCTCTAGTGCCAGCATTCCTGAGAGATAAGGGTGAGCACATAGTAGGGTGCATCCTATTATTACCCTCTACCCCAATATCTGATCCCATATTTGACCTCATAATAAGCAAATTAAGAGCTAGTAGAAGGGGTCCACTGAAGGAGTACAGAAAGGAACCTCCTCTCACCAACACGGTAGGCAGCATGCAGGTGGTGCAGGCTGTGTGGATTGACAGGTTGACTATGCGTCTCCTCCTCAGGTGGTGGAAAGCCCCCACTAACCAAAGGGCTGGGCTGTGTGGTCAGGGCAGGCAGTGAGGCACCCTGGATGGCTGGAAATGTGGATGCTGGATGGACACTGCTCACTAAGGGTAGAATGAAAACCATGTGAGACCTAGCACAAAGAGGGACAGAGAAGACTCCCACCCTACCTCCCCTGTCCACTGTGCCTCCCCTCCATTCACCTGTTCCCTGTCCCCACAACTCACAGGCCACACTGGTGGGCAGTGGGAGCCCTGGCTCTGTGTGGTAGGGATGGACTGTGATGGGTGCCATGGAAGGGACAGGGAAAGACACAGCAGTGGCAGCAAGTGAGGGAGGTGTCACTGAGTAAGGGTACTGAGCCCCCAGGAATGCAGGATGCACACCCTAGAGGCAGGGGGAGAAAGAGAAGGAAGATATCAAGTTATATAGTAGGATATAGCTCTGCCCCTTCACCCTACAAATGGGTATCCCTACACTTATCTTAGGCTGGGTCCCCCAGATTCCCACCACCTCGTCAGGACTTTTGGAAGTATTATTATATTCCCAGAGTACTACCCCACTCCAACCAACCCTCCATGAACTCCCAGTGTGTTTCCACATGCCCCACCCTGAACACAGCAGGATACTGGTCTCACCTGTGGGTATGCAGAGCTGGGCACAGGGAAGACGGCAGGCCGGGGCATATGAGGCATGGGATGGGCAGGGTGAGCTGGGTGGGTGAGGTACTGAGGGCTACAGGGCAGGTGGGGCTGTAAAGCAGTATAGGGGTGCAGGCCAGGAGAGTGACCATGCCCCAGTCCTGGACCTGGATATAAACTGGACCCCACTGAAATGACTGGAACCACTGTGGCTGCTGCTGTCACTGCTGCTGCCGCCACTGTAACAGGTTCAGTCCCTGGGCCCCCCCTGCCCTCAGGCAGCCCCCGCCCAGCCTCCCCAGCTGCCCTGATCCCAGTGGCACTACAGCTTGTAGCCCCCTCACGGGCTGTGGATGAGCCACCTGCTGTTTGCTCATATAGCCAGAACCACTGGTGAGCAACCTCAAACAATACTTCGGGGTACACGCCCCCACCCTTAGCCGCCTCTTCCACTGCCATGCAGGCCTTCTCCAACATCAGGTTATCCTGGAAGGGAGGGGCACAGAATGTTAAGTGGGAAAGACTTTATCCCAGGAATGTTGTCAGATGACATTCCAATGGCTCCCTCTGAGTTAGCTGGTTGTGGGTAGGCATCAGAGGTCAGGGTCAATACTCAGTTACTGCTTCAGATGCTGAACAAATACTTGCTGACCAATAGAAGTCAAGACCCAGATAATAGTCCCAGTTCCAAACTAATGTAATCACCCCTCCCCATCCATATCTCATTCTCTCTCTGAGGTCTTCCCCAAGTTTTCCATTCTGAGTAACCATCTTGGTCTCTAAACTACAAGCCTCTATTTCCTTAACAGTAAAATAGGAATAATCCTAACCTTAGGATATGATAGGTATGAAAGTATATTACAGATTGAGCATTCCTAAATTCCCAAATCTAAGACTTTCTGAGCACCAACCTGATGCCAAACATGGAAAATTTCTCACCGTGAAATTTGGTTTCATGCACAAAATTGTTTAAAATATTGTGAGATTATCTTCTGGCTATGTGTATAAGGTGTATGAAACAAATTTCATGTTTAGACTTGGCTCTCATCCTCAAGATATCTCATTATGTATAGGCAAATATTCCAAAATCTAAAATCTGAAACACTTGTGGTTCCAGGCATTTCAGATAAAGAATATTCAACCTGAAATGTTAAAATGTCAATATAAAAGGACAAACTGGATACTCTGTGAACCCTCTCTTTTTTTTTCTTTGTGGTGCTGGGGATTGAACCCAGGGACCTGTGCATGTGAGGCAAGTACTCTACCAACTGAGCTATATCTCCAGCCCTACTCTGTTAACTCTTGAAGATAGGAATCAAGAACTGGTTCCTCCATTTAGGCTTGGCAACACACCTATAGTCCCAGACACAAGGGAGGCTAAGATAAGAGGATCACAAGTTCTGAGCCAGCCTGCACAACTTCAAGACCCCTTTTCTTATGACTACTCTTCTAAAAGAGTAGTCATAACAGTAGTCATAACTCTTTTTTAAATTTTTTTTTAGTTATTGATAGACAGTGCTGAGAATCGAACCCAGTGCCTCACACATGCCAGGCAAGTGTACTAATGCTCAGCCCCAGCCCCAGCCTCAAGACCCCTTTTCAAAAAAAAAAAAAAAGGGTCCTTCACATTTCCCCATGCCCAACATTCCTGCCCAGGTCCCCAGATTGCCTTTAGAAATACCTGCTCCTTGCACTGCACCAGAGCCCGCTGGATTTCATTGGGGTTCAATGCATGGGCATGAGGCAGACAGCTTAAGGCCAGCTCTGCCGCTGCCCGCACCATATTGGAGTCTCGTGCCCGTGATGCTCTGTCAGCCAGGGATGCAACCTCAGGGGGTGTCAGATGCCCATCCCAGCATTCTACCAGTATAGTCAGGGCTGCACTGCCAATCTCCATTGCCTGCCCTTCAGGGAAAGAGCACAGTGGGGTTAGTGTGGGCACCACTGGAGTGTAGGGATGATGTCTCTCATTAAATCAGTATTACCCCAAAGTTAAGGCTCTTGTCTCCACCAGTTAACCCCACTCCTATACCCAAATCAGGACATTAGATTTACCTGTAATCCAGGAGACGTGAGAAGAATAGGTACGTGACAGCCAGTTGGGAGAAACAAAGTTGTGCAGGCCAAGGGCATAAAGCCCAATCTCGAAGGCGCAAAGGTGCAGGTTGCGGTGAGGACCCTGGTGGCCCCCTGAGGAAGATGGATGTGTGAAAATGGAAGTGCTGCTGTTGCCCCCTGCCTTGATCAGCACTGTCTTCGCCAGCTCGAAGTAGAAGTGTGCAGCTGCCTCTGACGGCTGATTGGGTACATGGGGGGCATGACTCTCTGGGCGGCGGCCCTTGTACCTAAAGGGGGCAATGGGGTAGGGACGGGGATGGGGTTTCTTTGAAATGAGTGTCCAGGTAGGTTGAGAAGGACCAGGGCAAGGGAGGAGGTTAGGGACAATGGTTGGATTACACTAGGGATGTAGCTCTGAGGGTAGTCCAGGTTAGGGGAGATAGGTATTTCTTCCAACTGACCTGCCAACTTCAACTGTCTTTGTGCGGGCCCCTCCACTGGCACTGGCCCGGCGACTTCCACTGGAGGATGAGGAGCCCAGGGAATCCGAGGAAGAGCTGCTAATGCTGTCACTGTCTTGTCCTCGACCCCAGGAGGTGGGGGCCCAGCCCCCTCGAAGTGGCCTCCGGCTTAAGGTGGGGGAACTATCCGATGTTGTTTCAGGGGCACTGCTGTCGATGCTAGCCATGCCTAACATCCCCCAAGACAAGTCAGTCTCAGAAATAGGAGTCCCTGAAGTCAAACTCCAACTTCAGGTATATCCTCCTCTCCATGTCATTCTATGGGCTGTCC